GGACTTCGGAGAAGTGTCATTAACAGACTGCGGGATAATAAGAGAAGTTCTGGGCATTTCGGGCACTTAAGGGAGAACTTCCAGGTGGTTCCAGGCTTCAGGGTAACTACATAAACTATTAAGAAGTTCAAAAAACTCCTGGGATATCTTCCGCTCACTTCCCTATAAAAAATGTTTTTTTCGGAATTATGAACACAGCAAAATATTAATTTTGATATCACATCACCCAAGTAACAATTTTATGAGGGTTCTGTAGACCATGATTTAGACTTGTAGCATACTTTAAAAACTTACTATGTTACTTGAGCAGAGTGGATGCACAGGAATCGTGTCAAAAATATGGTGTCATATTACGTGCCAAAAAGGACAAAATGATCATTAATACACTGCATGAACTGATATTACGCTGCTTTTACTGCATTTGTTTATTTTTGTGGCCATACAAATTACATGAGATTTTCAACATGATTGTATTGAATCCTTTATTAAAATTTATTTTTTTGCTGTGAAACCATCACATATTATAATTGTGCTTTGTATTTGTAAGCTACAAGAAGAGCTTGTGAGGTATGTGTTTGACACATAAAACCCGTCAATGTTGCTTTCAGAAAGTCGCAATCACTGATTTTAAGTGAACATTCACTCAAGGGCCACCCACATTAGATCCGGATCTGACGTGTTGTGGCAAATTGACAGCTAAATCTATTGTATAACTCAAACGGATCTAATGTAGATGGCCCTTCAGATTGAGCACTCACAAATCCTAAAATCAGTGATAGTGACTTTCTGAAAGTGAAATTGAGAGGTTTTATGTTTTATACAAATACCATACAAGCTCTTCTTGTAGCTCACAAGTAGAAAATTTCATTATAACATCGAATAATTTAATAATTCTGAAAATAAAAATGTTATAGGGAGCGAGTGGGGGGCGACCCCGGCGTAGTGGTTAGCATCCATACCTCTCACGCCAAAGTCACGAGTTCTAATCTCACCCCCGGAAAAGTAACGAATGACCCAAGAGCGTTAAAGTGACTAAAATTAAAAAAAGGGAGTGAGTGGAGCCATGTGGATATTCAAAAAGTTCATAGAAATTTTTAAAACTTTCTGCATTTACCCTGAAGCTGAAGGAACCCAAGTAGCACATGTTGTCACATAAAAGTTGCTGCCACTATTTTGTGACCCAATTATGTGTCGTAAAATCATTACAGTAACCATGAAGGCAACAGCAGTGCAACCAAAAAAGCACAAGATGTGAGTTGATATGTAACCAATTCAATGTTACAAAACTAGTTACACAGTAGTAACGAAATAACAATATTGGATAACATACAAATAAGTTAACTTGTAACGCTGATTAACTTTAGTTTAATTTCGACGATGAATATTGTTTTACAGAGTACCTTTATGGCATAATCATTTGGAGGCGTTGATAAAATTATAATAATCATTAGAGATATTTGCAACGAATACACATACCAGTGATAAAAATATGCAGTTTCATATTTACGGTGAAGTTGGGAGTTTTGAATTGAAAAAATAAATGCGCCATCTCATATTTCAATTGACTTATTACCATATTTTTGATCAAAAATGATTCGAAGAAATAATCTTCAGTTTTCTCTCAGTTTGAAAGTTACACTTCTAACAAAAAGTTTCATGATATGAAACATTACTTGGGATTATAAAAAAACTCGTTACTAATAGTTTGTCCTTATGGCTCAGCATTCACAATTGCATCACCATTAATTAAATATTTTACCATTTGGATAAATAAAAAAGGAACAAACAATTAGATTTCGATTGGTGAAACATTTTAGAGCGGCAGTGTAGCTTTCATTTTCCCAGATCATAGAGAATGCATATGTGTTACTATCTGGAGACATACGACTCCCAAGTAGCATTTCTTGTTTTATTGCACTCTATTAGTGGTTTTTGAGATCAATTTTATAAACCGCCAATAAAATTAATAGCTCCAGCACAACCTTTTGATTACCGCTATAAGATCGTCATACAGCTTAGTGGACCACTCTTGATAAGGTTTATAAAGCATGTTTGAGAATCACAGTAAGGTTGTCTTAAAACCTTTTGTCAGAAAGCCTCATACTCTACAAAAGGTTCTCATAGCCTCTATAAGAGTAATATTGTATCCAAGCAGTTTTATTACGCTTTGGTGAAAATCAGTTATAAAGCCAATTTAATTTGTATTGGCTTCAAAGCAACCGCCATAAATTAGCTTGTTGTTGTTCTGTTCTGCTGAAACTTTTTTTTCCATATGGAAATCTTTAGCGGTAAAAATAGGTTTGAGTGTTGGTGTCAAGATCACCATGTAATCAATTTTGTTTTATGGCGACATTAGTGAAAATCTTAAAGAAAATATGTGACTTTTTAGAAGTTCCAAAACATATGCGCTTGAAATTTTATCGTGTATATTGGGATAATATGAGCGTTAAATAAATGCGCCTCAAGTTATCAAAAAAGATTGTTTCAGAAATCAAATGAATTTGATGGAATCATCTTAATTTTACAGAAAATAGATCTCAAAAAATAAATTCATACCAATGCACACTGGAAATCATTTCGGATATCTAATTTAGCCATTATTTTATTGAAATTTCTTGGATTTTATTCCAAGGCTAATGGCAACAACCACTTCGGTCCGTTCCACCATCTGGACTGATTGACTAAGTCTGCGGGCTGCAATCCTCGAGATAGTTCGTCGGCTGGGTTTTCTACTCCTGGGACATGTCTCCAAGCGGCAATTTCAGTGTTGGATTGGATGGTGGAAACACGATTCGCAACGAATGTTTTCCAACGATTCGGCGGTGACTGCAACCATTGAATGACTGTGGTTGAGTCTGTCCAGAAGTAGACATCGGTAGATAACTTGATTGCGTGTTCAACCTTCTGATACAGCTTCGTGGAAAGAACGGCTGCACACAACTCAAGTCTTGCGATAATGTGTTTCGTGGCAAGGGGTGCCACCTTTGACTTCGATGTCAGCAATTGAACCTTTATTTGGTCGTTGTTCAACGAGCGGATGAAGCAGCATGCTCCGTAGGCAGCGTCAGATGCATCGCAAAAGAAGTGCAACTCAACCTTGGAAACGGCGGCCAAAGATACGAAGCGTGGAATTCTGATGTCAGCCAGGATGGGAAGCGTAGCATGGAATTGCTTCCACTCATCCTGTAGCTTCTGCGGGAGCGGGCGGTCCCATTCGTAGGGTGCGTTATCTTCGTTCTTTAGTTTCCAAAGTCGCTGCATGAACAATTTGGCAGTGGCTATAGTGGGTCCAACGAGGCCTAACGGATCGAAAATCTTGGCAATGTACGACCCTAGCAGCACACTTGTCACTGAACAATTGTGGACACTTGTGTACAACTGATTCCGGTCACAATCAAGTATCAGCAACTTATTTCGATCGAAGTGTGCCGCTTGGGGAGATTACCTTTCTTTTCGTAAGAATCGGTGCTGGTAGCGGAAGATCGACGTTGAAACGGAGCATATCCGTCTTCGTATCCCATACAAGGCCAAGCGTGGATACTGACTGGTCATCTTGCAGATCATGGAAAGGTTTGATCGCCAGATCTTCAGGCGGGATGTCAGCCAAAGCTTCAGGAACGTTGGAAGCCCACTTCTTCAGCGGTAGACCAGCCGATGCGAGCATGGCAGATATTTGACGACGTTTTTCTATGGCAGACTCCAAGTTGTCTGCGCCAGTAAGGAGATCATCGACGTAAAAATCTTCGACGACAGCTTCTACTGCTTCCGGGTAAATGTCTCCTTCGTCTTTCGCTAGCTGCTGCAGTGTACGTGTTGCCAAGAACGGGGCGGAGGATGTTCCATACGTAACCGTGAGGAGCTCGTATGTGTCGATTGGATCTGATGGCCTTCGACGAAATAGAATGCGTAGGAAATGTTGACCAGCAGGAAAGTGGAAAATCTGACGGTACATTTTCTCTACGTCAGCCACAATGACAATAACGTGAAAACGGAAGCGGATGATGATGGTGTCGAGATTCTGCTGCACAACTGGGCCGACGAGGAGTATATCGTTGAGTGACATTCCGGACGAGGTCTTACAGGAAGCGTCGAACACCACGCGTACCTTTGTGGTGGTGCTGCTCTCCTTGAATACCGGGTGATGCGGCAGATAACAATGCGGAACTTCGTCGTCAACAGAATCGAGTTTGCGCATATGATCGAGGCGGAGGTATTCTTCCACAAAATCGTGGTAGGCTTTCTTCAAGGCAGGATCTCGTTCAAGGCGGCGCTCAAGGCTGTAGAAGCGGCGTGTGGCAATTTCTCGGGACTCTCCGAGTGTGATTTGCGGATCTTCGGACCGAGGAAGGCGTACAACGTACCTTCCATCGTGAGTTCGAGTGGTAGTAGTGGCATAGATCTCTTCGCACAGTTTCTCTTCTGAGCAGTGCTGTAAATTCTCAAAATCATTTGAACATTTTTGATGAAAATGAGAAAAGTAGCTATTCGCTATCAAAGGGGACCTCCTCCGAATGGGTGATATCAGTTGCTTAGTCATTTGACGAAGGCATGGATCATTCTCATTTGAGAAACGCTATATATCATTCGATTGAGTGTAACCTACACACAAACGGAGCTCTGGTCGACATTCTGGCGAAAAAGCTAAGCCAACCCGACACCAACCTGACTTCTATCAAAACCCAATCCGATGTTGACCCGACATTGACCCGACATAAACCCAAAATTGACCCGACATTAACACGACATTGGGTCGACATCGACCTTAAATTAGCCTTACGTTGATCCGACATCGGGTCGACTTGTCTGTTCGGGATCATTTTCCTGGATTTCTTCCATACTCCACTGTCGTATATCAAATGATACTGAGTGACTCAATTGACAGTGACAGTGAGCTTCGAATGAGAAAGGGGCTCTTCAAATTATGGCCATGTGAGAATTCGTTTTCACAGAATTGATTGAATGGTTGTAGTGGTTCATCTTCAATCGAATGATATGAAAATTTACAGCACTGCTTCTGAGGAATGTGTCGGGCCATTATCGACGGCTTCAAGCTCCCAGAAACGTTGAAGCGCTGATTCGAGGGATCGGTTGGTGGTTGATATGTAGCATGCTGGTGGTGCAACAGCGGAATTGGTGGACGTTTTTCCAGAAACTGCCCACCCGAAGTGTGTTTCGACCAGCAATGGTAGACCGTTCCCGAGTGCTATGCGGTTACCGGTGTGGATTTCGTGGTAGCATTCCCCACCGATGATGATATCGATCATGCCCGGAATATTGAAGTGCGGATCGGCCAGTGGAACGCTTGGTAAGTTCCACGCAGCTGTGTTGATGGCGATAGTCGGAAGATTGGCAGATGGTTTCTTCATTACGAGAAATTCGAGTGTGGAGGAAAAGGTGTTCGTTTTCGATTTGATCGTAGCCGTGATTTGACGTTTGATCTGCTTGACGGATTCACCTAGTCCTGATACAGCGACGTCTACTGCAGTACGCTGCGTGACAAGAGCGTTTGCCAGCTGCTTGGTGATGAAATTGAACATCGATGCAGAATCTAGGAGCGCTCGTACGGTGAATTCCTTGCCGTGTTGATCGACGACGATTAGAACAACCGTTTCCAGTAGGACCGTGCTGTGGTTCGATTGGATAGCCATGCTAACTTCTGGTGGATGCGCTGATCCAGAGGTCCCCACGTGCGCTGACGTGGATGGAGCTGGTTGTTGCATAGGAGGATTCGAAGGTACGGCAGGAGTTGTCTTCTTCGGAGCTGCGTCGTGCAGCGAGGTGTGATGTCTGGCTTGGCAGGTTCTGCAACTAAATTTGGATTTGCAGGTCCGCGCTTGATGACCAGAACGAAAGCAGTTCCAACACAAGCTTCGCTGGGTTACCAACTCTCGTCGTTGGGATACGGACAGCTTGTTGAATGTTGAACACTGGTGTAGCAGATGCTTCTCGGAACATGCAGGGCAATGAAGAGTGTTCGACTTGACTTCACTTGTAGCAGCATTGACAACGGACTTGAATGTGGACAATTTCTTCGGGTTTGGACCGGCCACCTTGATGCTAGTCCCTTGAGAGCGATGTTGTAGATCGCTTGATACGGACTTCAGCATTCGAACTTGCTGGATAAGGAATTCAATCAACTCATCGTAGCTTACGTCGTCCTTCTGACGCGTTTCCTGTTCCCAAGAACGTAACGTAGATGCGTCGAGCTTATTGCAGAGGATGAAGGTGAGAGGAGTGTTCCAGTGCTTAACTGGTTCACCGAGCTTTCCTAACGCTTTCACGTGCCGCTGGAATTCGTCGACCAATGTGTTTAGCTCCTGTGCTGATTCACGCTTGATTGGTAGTAGTTCGAACAGTCCTCGAAATAACTCCTTTCTCAGGAACCGCTTGTTGTCGTAGCGCTTCATCAATGCGTCCCACGTAGACGCATAATTGTCCGCCTGAATGTCAACGCTTTCAAACGGCTTCTTTGCTTCTCCCTCCAACGATTGCAGCAGATATTGGAGTTTGTTGACGGTCGGAATGTCCTTGTTGCTGTGGATCATCGACAGAAAGTTGTCCCGGAACGATATCCACCTTGATTCATCCCCGCTGAACTTCGGCAGATCGATCTTCGGCAGCCGATGGTGAAAACTCGATGATGTGTGGTGAGCGAAGGTGTTGATCATCGTCGAATTTAATGGAGGCTGGCCGTTGTCCATCTTGGAGAGTAGAAATCCCTTCAACACGCAGTACCGATTTTCGAATCCGGTGCGTACCTCGATGTGATCCTCGAACTGATCGACGTCTAATTTCTCTATCTCCCCTTGGACCTGTTGAAATTCCTTGTTGACCTTGTCCAAGGTTTCCAACCGAACTGATACTTGGTTGGCGTCCCGCTCATGGTCGTACTCCGCCACGAACTTTTCCACCACATCTCGTATCGCCAACACCCGCTTAAGGATCAGGATGTTTCCTTCCAGCTTCTTTTCCGCCTTGTTTGCCATCTTACTCACCACTCGAATCACGCGCGAGAACGGAAACGACCCTTTTATCTCGTAACGATTGCTCCTTCCCGACGCGACGTGCCGTTTCTACACGAACCGAAATGAAAACAGCACAGAATCGAACGAATTTATCCTTCCCGGCGCGATGTACTGTTCAAACGCGATCAATACGACGGAAGTACCACGAAATTCGATCGATATAATCCTTCCCGTCGCGTCGTGATACTTCTACACGAACGCGAACGACCGAAAAGGACACGTGAAATCGATACGATCAATCCTTCCCGTCACGACGTGCCCTTTTTACGGTACGCGTGTCCGCTAAAACGCCACAAATATCGCAAAATGTGCCTTGGACGAATTGATCATTCACCGTTTTCTGTTGTTGATGTCCACCACCCAGTACGGTGTACTAATTCCAATGCGCGCCACTGTATGCGCAAGTGCAATTGATAAAACTGGCAATCAATTTGCCAATCAGCCACCAATGATAATCAATTTGCAAAAAAACGTTAATTATGCCGCCTCTGCCTAGCAATTCCACCGTACTAATTATGCTCGCCTTATGCGCTTCGATCAATCGGATCGGTAATGCGATGTTGTCATGCAATATTCGATTATGCCGTCATTCCTTGCCTCCTTATATCGGCGCGAAATATTGGCGTTGGCCGTGCGAGAAAAGGCCCAAAATTTCTGCACAAAACACCAATAGTAGAATGAATGGCCTACCTTTGTGTGATCAATGCCTTTTGACCACTTACCGCGATGGCGCTAACTTGCCTACGACGCTGATTCCTGGCTTGGGTATGTCCTCCGATCCGGCTCGAAGGACCAATGTTCTAGCCGTGGGCTCTGTATTTGCCGGGATTCGGAGGTTTTTCTTCCCGTTCGTACCGCGAACGGCGCACAGAAACCAGAGGAGCACTTTAGCACCCGAAAAGTACTGCTGCTACTCCACCTTCCCAGTAGAAGATGTGAGTTAGCCAGTCAGTCACTTTCCACTAACGTTGGAGTCCGCGATTTTCACGTTAATTACGCACGGACACACGATTGATCAAAACCTGATCACACTGACGCGATAACATCGATTTCGGATCACAAGCAAAATTTCGATTTCCACTTCACTTTCCTTTAATTTATTGCAACCGACGGATGGTTGACGATCGAGGAATAGAATTTAAAAGAACACCGACAATAGATGTGGTTGCGCACGCTTGGGGTATCTATTTGCTACTACTCGTATTGTGTGTACAATTCGGTTCGTTTGGTCAAGTGCAATGATTGACCATTGGAATGAGATCATTCTCTCTCGTGAGAATCGGTGATCATCTTCATTAGACTGGTTCACAATGTTAATTCATGTTTATATAAATTTAGTTGTAGTTTAGTTTAAGATCACTAGTTTTAAGATTTGACTTTAGTTTCAGCCTTAAGATTAGGATTAGGTATATACAATATTTACAACACTAAAGATTTTATTATAATCAGTGGCTACTGATCACATTGTATATGACCGTCATAAAGCTGTAGGTAATGGTTACAGCTGCAATAAAACCTTTATAAATTTTGAATATTGCCAAGCAGCTCTAGATTTGTTACTTGGGTAATGTTCAATGAGCTGGGCTAGGGGATCCTGAAACTTTTCATTTGGTGGTTGTTGCGTTCAATTCGGTAGAGTGGTTGCTGAGAAATACGTTTAAGAACATTGTGTTCCACGCTCTCACACACACATGCACAGGCAGACATTTTACGATCTCGTCAAGCTGAGTCGATTGGAAGATTATTAGAAAAAATATCAATGTGTTTTAAAAAGTTAAATAACAAAAAACTCAAAAACGTAAAAAAAAAGAGTTGATCAAAAATTAGACCAATTGTAAATTTACTCCCCCATTATTCGATTTGACATAACCAGAGTACCAGAATTTTCGGAATACGTTGACATTGCACCGGAGCTGGCAAATAGCTCCCGGGGGGCTAAAAGCGAAATGGACAGGTTTTATGATAAAGTTTCAACCTTATGTATTGTGGTTTTTTGGAAGTGAGCCTTACAAATAAATGGATTGTTAAGAACCATTGCCATTCAAAATACTTGTTTTCTGCATACATTTTCGGAAAGAAAACTATATTCGAACCTTTTTACTTATAGTTTGCGAATTTTAATGGTAATGGTTATCGTAGTCAGTAAGTTCCATGGATTGTTTTCATTGTAATTCATAAGGTAAAATTTGTATCACCCAAACGTTCATGTAAAGTTCAATAACCATTTCAGTTAAAGTTTAGCAGGGATTATAAACAATTTTCAACCATTTTCAGTAAGGCTCGCGTTTATGCGGGATGAAGGATAAACTGAAAGGTAGCCGAACATTTTTCTCTACCGAGGAAGAAATTGATTGAATGCTTAAAAACCAAATACTAACGATTTAAATTGCCGATTGAGATATTTTGTGGCTAAGTGATTTAAACAGTTTAATAGGTCCCAGCAGTTACAATATTTGCGTGACGCTAACTTTATGTGTTACAGTACGATATATTTCTCCATGTTAATACCAATGACACATGAGTTTATGTTTATAGTAAGAAACTAAAAAGTGATTCTTTCTGTCAAATTCTCACTCAGCTCACTTAGCAGGATGCAATTGTATAAGGCTAAGCATACAAAAATAATAAGTGAAGCATCATTTACGCTACTAAGTTCAAAATCAGGGTCAGCTGGTTTTATTCAATTTTTCATTAATCGAAGAAAACTGAAGCAATGAGAATACGAACGTAATCAATTCGGCTCGCACAATCTACTGCTCGTTTCTGATGTTGAATGCTTGTGAGTGAATAGTAAATGCAAAATGAAACGGTTTTTCCCATGCTTGATAACATCTAGTGATTTCATAATTCTGGAAAAAAAAAATTCTTATAGCGAAGTGAGTGGAAGTAACCTTGAATATCCAGAGAACTTCAGGGAAGTCCAGAAAACTTCAATGAACTTTAGAACACTTGAGGAAAATATAATAAACTTCCATGGTCTTCAGGGGAGCTAGGTCTAGAGATCTTCATGGAAGCCCAGAGATCGTTAGGGCAGTTCCAATAAATTATCGAATTTCCGGACTTTCGAGGAAGTTCAAAGATTGTTTAAGGTTAGTTTCGATAAATTCAGAACAGCTTCATAAACTTTAGGAAATTTTCAAGCATCTTTAAGAAGTTCCAGAAAGATGCAGGAAAGTGCAGTGCTGGTAAATGTTGACACATTTTCTATTTCCATAGCCATCATCCGATGTGAAATGCTTAAAAATTCTTAAAAGTTATTTAAATTGTTCTTTCATTACCAACATTACCTTACCAATATACAACATTCCTACATCTACAGGAAACACTCATTTCATCGCAACGCCTGTTCTAAATCGATGCCATCAGATTGGCTCAGAAAATATATCCAATACAAAGAGTCAGAATTCCAATTTGAAGACGGTGCTTCCTTCCATTCAGAAAAGTATCATTGAATGAATGAATGAATGGAAAACTGCTTTTCGCATTCTTTCCGACACAAGCCCTGATGGCAGACGGTATACTTTGAACAGCTTCCGTAACGAAACCCCTCTTCTGCTCGATGAAAGAACGGCATTGCTTCAGATTGGGGAAATTTATCAAACATTAGAAATGTTCGTTCGTCCTCTTCTCACCCCCTGTTAGCCCCCACCACCTTTTTTGACATTTCCGACAGCTCATTAAAAGGATCCTCTCCTTTCTGCCATCCCATCATCTCATGATCCAATCCACACACATGTTATCAATATGAAACTGCTCTAGCTATGCGATGGGAATCACTCATATTGGTAAGCGATTCTTCGGGAAATTTGGGAAACACATAGCAACCTATTTTTTTGTCACTGCCGTCTGCTCCTTCCAAGATGAACAAATCGTTCCGGGAAAGTATGGCAGCAAATTTTCTTTTCTATACATCATATCGTTTTCTTATCGTGCCAGCTCCCGGTAAATGGAGCAAATTTTTCACTGTCTTTGAAGTGATTTTTCACTATACACGCGGGAGCATTCTTTCATCTTGAATCACGCACGATGCTGTTGCTGTTGTTCTTGTAGGTGGTTTGGGGGGAAGGAAAAAAAAAGAAGAAGAATGCGAAGCGAATATCGAGAATTTGTAGATGAGGTATGTAGTAAACATACAGGTGAATCTTGCTGCTTTATCCAGCACCGAGAGAAAAATGGTAGAAGATGAAAGAGGGGGATTACATCATCTAGTTTCTGGGGAAAGACATTTTGAACATGCTGTTGGGATGGATGGATTTGAAGATTATGTCGTTGCTAATAGCTCAAGCGTTTCGTAAAAACAATTTGATAAACAAATGATTCGATCCATCCATCAACTTTTGATTTTATGGTAGATAGATGGTGAAACCTAATGAATATTCATTTGGGAAATTCGTTGTTTTCCATATTACGGAGCAATAAAAGTGCGCTAATCATTCGTGGTCTGAAACATACACGCCAGTTGAATCTAACTAATGTTGTTTTCGTTTTTGCGGTGTAATTACACCGGTGCTACAGCGCCGAACACCGAAAAAAAATCAAGGTGTAGCTCTCGATTGCACCTTTGTTTACAAACAAATGATGATGAGCTGTCAATGACTCACGCTTATTGCTGCTTACACTACACCGGTGTAGTGTAGCAAAAACGAAAACGACATAAGTGACTGAGTAAAAGTGTACGGCTATCCCTTTTCTCTCACGACAAATTTTACTCAGTTTTCGGGAAAAGTGGGGTTACTTAGAGATTGAGTAAACCCAGTTAAAAAAACTACAAGGGACAACCTGCAGGGCAGCATGAGCTGTTGACGTTACACTACGCTACTAGATGTAAACTAACTGAGTTTTCTAAATTGTAACATTGTCACGTAACGGGATTAACCTCAAATTGGCTGCCTAATTAAACCCGTAAAGTGGGTAAGTTCTAAAAACGGTTCACAAACTGGGTTCACATTTTACATTGTTAC